ATGCCCGAGACGTCGGGGAATTCTTGCGCGTCTTCGGGCTCGCCTGGCCGCGCTACGAATGCGGGGCGGTCGTCCATGCGCGGCGTCATATGCGATGCCAGGTTGGCCATCCTGCCGACTTTCCTTGGGCGGGACCTGCCTTACCAAGGGACGGTGTCTGATCTGGATCCGTGCTAGCCGCAAGCAAAGACGGCGTAGACGAGGGACGGGTATCGGGCTACGCTGAACTGTCCTGCGTCTGAGCGTCGTCGGTAGCAAGATGGTAGGGTGAGGAGGGATGAAGGCAGATGCCTGAAGGACGTCGGAGCTTTTGCGAGGCTCGACTGGTTATATACGAGGGCCAGCAACAGCTGTCCGGTGAAAGTCAAGGCGTGTACCAACGTCGGACAAGGAGAAGCGCATCTTGGCATCACCATTGACACGGCAGACGCAGCGGACATTGGCTGAAACATAGTGCGCCGTCTGCAGCTAGCCGCCGTACATACAGCCCGAGACCGGCTCCAAGCCAAGCTGGTGTCGAGATAGATAAAGCCCCCCCGCCTTGGAGCATCGGGGGAAGACTACATGCAGCGGGCGGCTATCGCATGGCGGAGGAAGGCGGCGCCCTGTCTCGCTAGGCGATGCACGAGATGCAGTCGGGGTCTGGACCAGGGCAGCAACGTGCATCCATCTCCTCCATCTGCCCACGGGCGAGGGAGCTTGACAGGCGGCGCTGTCGATTAGAGCCGCTGCAGCTCGCGTCTGGTTGGATTCCGCATGCATTTCGCCCTTTCTCTCGTCTCGCTGTGCTGAGCTGAAGCCGCGTTTTTTTCTCGTTTTCTCGTTTTGGGCTCGTGGCGGCGTTCGAGATGAAACAGCAGTCCAGTCTCCGACGTGTCTTAGGCGCCCCTCTCCAACCCAGCCACCACGCGCTAACGCTTTTCTTTCACCGCTCCACTGCCTGTCTGCTGCCGCTCGAATTCTCGCAAGCCGTGGAAGGCGTCGGCGGAAGGCGAATCGCTGAAACATGCCCAGCGCCTCCTCCCGCCCCCCC